GTCGTACAAATTCAGCTTCTACCGCCCACCGCTCCCAATATGAAAGAAACATTAACGTGTTGTCATCTTTTGTTACCTCATACCGTTAGTACCGCACGAGACGAGTCCAGGCGCCACACCAAGTTGATCATGCGACCATTACGAAATGATTCAAAAGCAGGCATTAACACATTCCAAAAAGCAATGGCATCCGCCACTTGGGCTTTTTGGGGCTGCATACTCTTCATCCTATTGGACTTGGAAACGCCCCGAAGCGAGCAAGCCCGCTTGAGAGCGCAAAGGGATCTGCTCAGGTGAGAATGAATAGTGACTTTCAAGGGACTGTGCCCTTTCACAATACCAAGGAGAATGGTCACCGCCCCCAAGTTGATACTGGAAAACGCGGTTGGAACATCCGTAGATCATTGACTGTACTCAATCAAGTCATCACCGTCACAGATATTCAAAGCAGATGTTCACGATATCCAAATTGATCAAAGAATGTGTGCACCTGTAAGTCCAGTCACTACTGTGAAGGTAGCTCGACATCAAAAATTCAGTCTATCTTGGGACTCGGTATTTATAGGATGGGGGGCAGCCGATTTCGAGGAGGGATTCCTATTAGTTTCAGCAGCCGATCTATCAACTTTTCTTCGTGATTACACCCCAACCTATTTTTCCACCTCCACTGGAGACATTATCAGTACTCCAAATTCAAATCCTCACAGCTTGCTAGTCTTTTCGCTAGTGATAGAAGACTCAACAACCAACTTCTTGCTAGTATACAAGAACTGCCAAAAAGCCGAAGCCCCACTCGACCCAGCTACAAAAGAAGTCTTAAGCTCAAGCTTACCTGAAGACAAACTGCCGTCGTTCAAGTAGTGGTGAGCTCGCCACAAGATCTTTCATTTCAATATCTGCTTACGTCATGACAAACTGACATGTAAGACTAGGACATTGTGAATTGCCTACCATGTCGTCTCCGGAGTCCGCCTCTGAAAAAGGAGCATGGGATACCATGCAGGAACTAATTCTCCTCGATAATCCCCGTGCCGACATCCAGTGGCTCCACGGCCGCGACGATCAGGATCTTCAATGGGTGGGAGACAATGAGGTCAAGTTGTACCATGCGTCCCATGAGGTTTCTGGACCACTTTGGCCTCAAATTCTGGCCTCACGCGAAATAGCAGCGTGGGAACAAGTCAGAAAGTCATGCATGGTACTCATCGATTGCGACATGGACTCCAACTATCTGTGGGAAAACTTTTATTTGAGTCAACTATCGGTATTGTGTCGCAGATTGGCCGACCAGAAGCGGTGGGATTTCCGCGAAGGCAAGCCCTTCGGCTCTCTAGTCTTTTTTATGGGGGGTACGGCACATCCCAAACGCAGCGAGTCGGGGATCGTTGCTTTGACCATGATGACATCCCTCATCTATCAGGTCGTTGAGAGGTACGCCAGAAGATGCTGCCCAGATGAAGCTGGAAATGTTCTGGCTTTCGAAAGCGCCAAGAGAGACGATATCGAATACTTATGCGGCTTCTTCAGAGAGTTGGTTCGTAAAGTGTCCTGGAAAGTCGAGCTTACCTGTTTCATCGACTTTGTTGGTCGACATGATACAGAACACGGGATGGATATCGTCATAGACAGTTTGATCGGTTTGGTCGAAGACCAAGTAGAGATCCAAAGACAAAATCCGGAACGTAAGGCATTCAAATTGGTATTCACAGGCCCAGGACCCAGAGGCGGTCCCAGGCTGAGGATTCATAATATCCTCTATGGAAAGCGGCACATTGCTGCATCTCATTACCTAAGGCTTGGAGCGGATAAGGATCGGAGCTTCTCAATGATATGAGAAAGGCACCTTCCCACGTATCTGGCCTCTAGAGAGTCTCCACTTTACAGGAATTTTGCTCAAGCCGATAAATAGCATTAGGCTACAGAAATATCAATTGAGTCATTTTGTATACTTATAAATGCCGATGGCAACCCTACGCTCCTGTCTTGAAGAGCAACGATCTTGAGCTACGACATTGCCTGTATGAAATACTACCCCTCACCCCCCCCCCCTAGGGGAAAAGCCAATTTCGTTATTTTTGTTTTGGTACTTATCGGTATCGACACGCAAGCGTAATCACGAGTGAGGCAAATTGCATCCAATTATCGTGGATGTATAAGCTCCCCACTTATCACTTTCTTTTTCTTTGAATCACTTGCCCGTAGCTCTGTTATGTATAATAGTTTCATGAATCAAACCATCGTATCCAAAAGAAACCTACACGTTATGTTTTGATTTTTTGCGATGTGGCTACATTGGAGTTCAGCTTGCATCCAGCTAGCCAACTCCATAACATGCCTAGATTGGCGCTTTGCATTCGCGTGCAGCTGAGGAACTTTTCCAGTAGGTACCTCACTCTTCTGGTGAAAGTCTAGTCTGCAATATCAGCCGAAGATAGACCGAGTGTCATTTGAAGCTCTGTTGGATAAGAAACATCTGCCATCCCTGGGTGCCTTTTGCCGCACTTACCTTTGGCTATTGAAACTTCAAGGTCAATGGACGTCTGTGCGGTTTACCTTAGTATGGCGTCGACCTGCGGGACGAAGAAAAGTGTTCATCACGTTTGGGTTAGACAGATTGATGTGAATCAGATGTTCAGGAGAATTCGGAAAGGAGGGTATATCCTCCTATTCTGGGTCCAATAGGATAGCCCCGGCCAACAAAACAGCACACATACAAAGAGGATGCTTGGAGTGAATGGATCACCGCCCCGGAAATCATGGTGCATTCATCGAAGCTTGGCTACGGGTATCATGTATTCCATTCCTACAAAGAAGTAAATCAGCTTAGCTTGCCGCTGTACCACAGACTACCCCGTAAATATATCTACTGGTCATCGGAGGACTTTTTTGGCTTCCGACAGCTTCCTTCCTCAGCAGCTATACTTTGAATCCAACTGATATTTTGCCAGTTGACTGGACCTTTTACCAAGATGTACACCTACGATTCATCTAAAGTCACTAGGAAACTCTTATTACCTATATCACTCTACCCTCTGGACTGACTACCTTACTGAAGATCGAACACTACAGAATGCTCCAGTTGCTTAATTTGCCTATTGATCAGGACCGAGAACAGCGAGCAAGATATAGAAAATGGCAGGGGATTGCAGCGGCTCTCGACCGTTCAGCTAGGGATCTCGATAGGCGTTGCTTGGAGGAGGTGGGACACCGAATAGTGGATCCCGCGGCACATCAAGCTAGAATGATCTCTGAAGATAAGAGGATTCTGTTCAACTACACCGGCTCCGCTACGTCATCCTCAACTTCAAACCCATTGTTGATCATTAGGAAATACTGCTGTCCGGATAATGATCCCGATCCCGAAACTAAATGGACGGAAACCGCATTATCGATGCTCTGCAAGATATATGTCGAAGACAGTCGAAAGCAGCTAAAGAATGAGGGTGTTATTCGAGGACAACCAAGAGACCAGTTTCTTAGTCTTGTCATTTTCTGTGGCTACAAGTTCCCCGATGACGCAGAGGTCGAGTTGATGATGATCCAATCCCTCGTTTCCCAGATCTTGGAGCTATGTGGGTACGACTTTTTTGACAAAGACGACTGGTGCGCTGGCAAATTCTCGACTACTTCCGACGTTGACCATTGGTGGTTCGTTGTCAAGCGCCTGGTTCAAAAATTATCAAGACAGATGACCGTCATCTGTTACATCGACAACCCTGCCGCCCTACCAATCGAGATCTTCGACTCGTTCATTCTAGGAGAGCTGGTGGCTCTATACAAAGAACAAACGGAATTGGCAAAGAATGAAGAAAAAGCGCAATTCCTAATCGTCGCCACGGACCCTTCTGAATCTGGGGACTTCCGCATTTCTGAAGCAGTAAACAAAATGGGGTTGAAGGTGGAGGCACACTCATACTTTGAGAGCACAGACTCCGCGGCATCACTTGGTCACTCACGAACTGTTGGATCCAGATGAACTACCACCGGCAGCGTGTTCTAAGACATCACTACCAGTTTGACAAGAGGCTCAAAGTCAGTATCACGAGTTATGGAACGCATCGATACATGTAGCCACACTGAGTGGCCGGAGGGAGCGGGTACAAACGACAGACCCGTTTAGGGTGCAAACATAGCTCCACTCTCTTCCGTCGGTCAACTTCAAGTCGCCAATTCAAATAGAAGTATTTGTCTCTTTTTTTTCTTCGAGAAAAGAAAAAAGAAAAAACAAAGAAAAGAAAATAAAGACAGCAGAAAACCTAAATCTAAATAAAGAACTACGGTATTATTATAATTTCAATTGTATCGTTGTGAAGCTAGCGCTCTGTGTGATTTCCCAACGTACATTTTTGTCGTATAGTCACAAATAGGGGCATCGACGTTAAATGTAGAGAACGGTTATCTATTGAAAGTAGGAAATGGGCACGAGGTTCGCCCTGAAATAGAGAGTGTAAGCGAGTGTGGACCTCGGGTGATTATGTAACCGAGGTTACGTGACATGCGGTGAGGCCATGGATGGTTGAAGCCATTACGATATACCCCCCTAGACGAATCCTCGTTTGGAAGAAGCGCGCCGAACCATCCGTATCGTCGTAAAAAGTGCTGCTAAATGCGTAAATTTAAATAATACTGTGTAGGAATCTATTTATAAAAGGAATTATAAAGTGAATTGCGCTGCGCGCTGAGTTGTGGGCGTAGGGTAGATGGGCAGTAGTTTGCTAGCCGTGTTTGTTGCTATGGGTGATCTCGAGGCTCCTCTGTTGATAGTAGGTAGGACCGAGGGGCGGCCTCTTATTGGCCGAATAATTAGCTTACGGTCTGAGGTAGGTAGGTAAGTGAATTCCTTGCGGCCGCCTACTGCTTTGACTTTCCTTTCCTTTTTTAACTTATATTTATATACTAACTGTACGTATATACCCTTACTTTTCGTTTCTGCGCCTGCGTTCGCGCGCGTGCCTGTTGGCAGAAGTAGGAATCGTAGTTAATAATGTCGTTTGAGATAGATGCCTAAACGTACTAGGGCTGAAAAGCGCGCTCGTACTGCCGTAGCGCGCGAGGCCAAGCGCCTCAAGACGACTTCGGGGGAGAGCGGCGGCTCCTCTACTTACGACGACGATCCGCTTGTGGGTAAGTGATACTTTTTTTGTGTTGGACTCCGGTTGGTTAAGCGATAGTATTGTGCCGTGACTTTGCTTTTAGACTTGCTGACGTTCCTATCTATAGGCGACGGCCTTCTGGCCGAAGAAGAGATTACCCAGGAGGTGGGTGGAGGTGAGGGTGGTTCAGAGCCCCCTCCCTCGCTCCCTCTTGGCGGGTGTGAGGCGGTTCCTCGTGAGTATAATGTCCTTTCCTTGACGTTGTCGTTTATGATTCTGATTCTTAATAGCGTACCCCTCTGGCACCCCTGGTGCCGAGGGACTTCTCGAGCGGGTGCTACCGCCGTTCGGTGCCGAATGCTTGGGCTGTATTAAAAGCGCCCTTAGTGGACGAACGGAGGGGTGGTGCTTCCTAGGCTTAAGCGCTGGTAGTAAATGTGTGCGTTGTTAGGCTGGTAAGAAGTCCGGCTGCGCTCCCCTCTAGGGGCGTACGCGCGAGCTGGGCGAGAAGTTCTTGTGCCTTAAGCGGGCGAAGAAGGAGAATCCGGCGGAGACCTCGTAGAAAGTTAGTCTCTATACGTGCTCGTTGTTCTGAATTAATTGCTAACTATTTCCAGGACCTGACTTGCGTAATGGCGGCGTTGCGTGAGGCCCTGGCGGCCGACGGGCTGCTGGGTGAGGTCAAGGACGAGGTGGCTCGTGTAGACGAGGCTTTGGCAAGAGAGGCGTCTATGGGCGCTCTCTCTGTGCTCGAGGCCTAGTTGAAAGAGCCTGTTGAGGAAGAGAAGGTGCTGGCTGCTTTGCGTGCGAAGGCTGACGGTATCCGGATCGGAATCGATACCCTCGTTGGTATTTATGTCCCCGTGGACGTGGTGCCCGCGTTGAAGTCCCTTCTGGACGAATACGCGCTTGCCCTTTTAGGTAAGTAATCCTTTTGTGGCGACCCGACGGGGTCGCTGGAGTAACTTTATGCTCCCTGGCCATGGGCCACGTTTATAAATTGAAAACCCGGGCCCCCCGGGGCGTTCTGCTGCCTCCCTAGTGTTCCCTCGTTTTGTGTGACTATTCCTCGTGTGTCCCTTATGTTTAAGAGCGATACGAAGTGTTCGAACTTCGCTCGTGAGAGGCTCTTTGTGAGACCGTTGGCTGGTATCTCATTTGTTGGTATATAGACCACTTTAAATGAGCCTTTTGAGTGCTCTTGACGTAGCTATATGTTTTGGATATTGACGTGGCGAAGGCGAGTTGAGATACGTTCCCCTTCCTCTACTATAAGCCTTATTGTTTGACGATTATTATAGTGAACCTTCTAGACGTCCCCGAGTTTAAGCGATATATTGCTGAAAAGGCGTTTTAAAGCGAGTGTCTCCTTAGTAGTGTGTTCTAAGCTGAGTAGTTCGGCCTTAGTTGTCGAAGTTGTTACCGTGTTCTGCTTTGCGGCTTTCTACTGAATGAGTCTGCCGAAAAGAGAGATTATGTATCCCTGAGAGGATTTTCGGGTCTCTTCGTCGTCTGTAAACGAAGCGTTGCCTGCGATCATTAATACTTGCCTACCCCCCGAGATGCCGAAGTATATGGCGAGGTAGCGAGTATGGAAAAGGTATTGTATAACTTGATTTGCGGTAGAATGGTGCTGACGAGACGGGTTCGTGAGGAACTGAGATAGTAAAGCGTATGCGAAAGCGACGTTGGGTCGTATTATTATTGTTGTATATAGGATTGACCCTATTTTTTCTTGGAACGACTTGGTTTTGGCTGGCGATGCGACTCCTGGGTTTTTTTTAATTAGTACGGTTGGTAGCGGCGTTACTGGTGCTTTTGTGTTGACGAGATCGAACTTCTTAGTAACTCTCTCGATATACTGGTTATGGGCGAGATAGATTTTTTGGTTTGGTTGATCTCGGATGACTCTGATACTTAGATATTACGAAACTGGTCCCTGGTTCTTTAACTTATACTTCTTTTTGAGCCCCTCGGTTATCCGACCGGCCTCGTGGACGTGGTCCTTATGGAATAATACGAGGATGTTGTTTATGTAGAAGAGAACTAGGACCCTTTTATTTTGAGTTTGAAATAGACATGGGTCCTCGTTCGTGGGCGTAAGTCCGAGGGATCTCAGAGTCGCCGAGAGTTCTTCGTACCAGAGCAGAGGAGCGTCACGGGCACCGTAGAGGGCTCGTTCGAGTTCGACACACTTACCCGGCTGCTTAAAGCCGTCTGGGAGCTCACATATGATGGGAGGGTCGCCTGGTTTCCGTACTGCGTTCAGAAACGCATTTACGACATCGTACTGGTGGACTTCCAAATCGAATTGGGCAGCGACAGCCATCGCTACTCTAAAAGTCCTGGCGGCGAGAGTAGCTGCGTACGTTTTTTCTAAGGGGTGTCGCTCTTGGAGGTCGCCCCTGACGCATATTCTCGCCTTGCAGCGATCGAGGTAATGGTCCTCATTGAACTTATAATTGAACACCCATTTGAGCGGTATTGGCTTCTTTTGGACCGTCGCTCGGCTAATGACTTTCCAGGTGTTCATTTCC